AGACCGCTTGGAGTGGGTTGTTCTTGTTATAATGTTTGTAATGTCCTTTTGATTAGTCCATTGATTTTTATGTTTGTTAAATAATGTGCTTCCAGTATCTGTTCCGAATGGCCGAATAAATAATAATAATAGTAATAATGTCAACCATGCTACTGAAGGCATTTTGCTTGTTGTCATTCACGTGACTGGATTGCGCTAAATGTAAACAACACCACCACTTGTGGACTGCCGTGGCCACGGTGATCGGGCAGCTTCAACCACGTACAAGCACAAGTGCGAACGCTGCATGCATGTAGTTCATCTTGAATAAGATTCATCACCATCGCAACACTATGAAATTACCATCACAACACATAGCGGTCCAGCACGATCATGACATCACATGAAAAAGGTCTAGACGTGTACTCAGGCCTATACTGGGTAGTACTCCTGCCTTGAAAATTGGTAGGGCAGCAAACCATTCAGACGCGTGTTACGTAACGTCAATCAATTGGTGTCTTTTGCCTGGGCCTAGTTCTGTTCTACATATGTACGGTGAAACGGTTCAGTACAGATACATGTACATGCATCCTCTTAGCTGGGTGGTTCTGTTGTGAATGAAGTACAGTACCATGGAGGAATGACAGTACATTGTTTGCCTTCTTCGGACAAATCATTCCAAAGAAAAGACACTTTGTTGCAATTTGTGTTGTTCTAAAATCAGTATGGAAGTCTCATTTATACGATGTGCCAAGAGATCCTGAAGCCTTGAGTGAGTAAAGTACTGAATACGTTTAGGTATACGCATGGATCTGTTGCACAGTCCATGCTAGAAGTACATAGCTCCATGGTATAAGTACATGTACATAGCTCCATGGTATAAGTACATGTACATAGCTCCATGGTATAAGTACAAGTACATAGCTCCATGGTATAAGTACATGTACATAGCTCCATGGTATAAGTACATGTACATAGCTCCATGGTATAAGTACAAGTACATAGCTCCATGGTATAAGTACATGTACATAGCTCCATGGTTTAAGTACATGTACATAGCTCCATGGTATAAGTACATTACATGTATGTAGGCCTGCTAGCTACAGGTACAATGTAGAATTAATGAATGCGGCGTTTCGTCTTCCACGTGTTGTGTGATGTAAATAGAGGCGTGCCAAACCGCAAGCCCTAAGCAACCCTTTTTTAAAAAGTTGTAAATATTCTTTTTTACTAGACGAGTAAACCGTCCGCATGCAGGCATTATTACAATTGGCTTGGCCTGCCGACTGTACCGCGAGGTTTGATGAGTAAACACATGCGTTATGTACATGTAAATATTTTGTCGTTGCATGGCACCAGCTGACCAAAAAGCAGTGGATTATCGAGCACATTTACACGCGTACATGTACATGCTGTTCGCCTCACAAATACCAAAGGAATTACACATTGTAGGCTGGTATCCACGGAATTATACTGTACTAAAATCCATTAAATGTTGTTGATATGCAGTGAGTGGACGGAAATGAGGAATTGGACACAACCCGCAGGGCCATGGCAAATGCCACATTTCACTGTTAACGTGAACACCGTGTTACTGACCTTACATGTAGAAATTGTTGCTTATACAGTGGACACAATATCTTACTCACCAAAGCAAATTATTTCAGTTGAAAATGCATGAATTTGAAATGTATTGTCTGAGTGGTAATTATTTGTATCAAGCGATTATCGTCCGTGCATTCTGTAAAATTATACATGCATTTGCATCGTTTTTGTTTGAATACACGGGCCAGTCTAGTGCCCAAATACCCGAGGGCAAGCTTAAAGGGAGATGAAGCGAAACAACCTGAACCGAAGTAAGAAACTTGGGAAAACTCAAGAAAAGCCATCACACACAAAACAACTGAAAATCAAACGTAATGCCCATGGGTTTTATAAACTCGATTACCTAGCCTCGTTGTAATCCCCCAACACCCACGCGCCTCGTTATAATCTACTTCTTGCCATGTTCCTACTTTGCACGTGACGCACGTGTACTGCCCTTGACTTTCATATTAAAATTCACACCTGTAGCCTAACGCAGCATATTTACATGTACCACTTCGCTTGGCCGCATTGCCCTCACATTGTGAATGAATGTATTTGTACATAGATCATTAAAGCTACATGCATACAGTCACGCAAAGCATTGTGGGTAGATGTACATGTACATTTAAGCCATGTACTACATCTACATTCAGTGCCAGGTGTCATTACGCACGAAAGTGTTTGCCCGTGCAAATGTATATTCTCCTGAACTCCATTATACCTAATGAATTTTCAACATCTTATTTTAGTATTTACTCTTTTTTTATCTTGAGCTGTGCCTTATTCCCCCTGTAACTTTATCCATTATTCATGTCCTGTTCTGAATTCCCAGTAAAGTTTGCATGTGTACACCTAGAAAATCGTGATCTGTTTATTTTTACTTGTTTTCAGGGTCGCCGATTTAAATTGTCATGATTGAAATCACCGACTTAAACACGATTGAAATCAAATCTTTCTATTCACTCATTTAAGTTAGCATTTTAATTGTATGAAGAAGGCAAAAATGTACAATGTTAATCTCAGAAGTGGAAATTTCAGAATTCACTCAGAAGTGAATCATGATTAGAAATCTTTCGATTCATGCACTGAATCGTATATATACAAGGGTTTTAATTATGCCTGCGTCACTAAGGAGTTGGGTCACAAACAGACCTGTTGTAACGAGACTTCTTTATGCAGACATGAGGGAAAAGTACTAGCTTTTTCTTCCTACATATGCAGCATGTAAAATCGATTCATGTACATGTACGTGGGGTTGACATTTTTGTCACTCATTGGTTATTAAATACCAAGCGTGAAAAGATGGCCGCGCGTAGACCAACCACTGTGTGCGTTCACAGGGACGGTTAGGGAAAGTCTCGCTCCCTGGATAGGTGCACGACAAGGATTTTTACCTTAAAATAAATCCTGAGAAACACAAAATGCAAAACAAGACAAAGTAGTAACTTTTGCGACGCTAATCCAACAAATCATCGGTGATTTCTTTTCTGCTGAGTTTTAATCGTTCTACCGAGCTCTTGAAGTGCCATCCGACATGTTGACATCCTGACATACTGTTTCTCGGGTAACGACATGATACAGCCAAGATGTTCACAATCTGCAGCTAATTTATCTTGAGAATACGACATCGTAAAAGTTGGATGGCGACATCCTGCAATAATTTGTCATGGGAAGACGACATCGTAACAATTGGATGACGATATACGGAAATAATTAGGTATGGGACGACGACATCGTAAAGGGGTAGACATCACACTTGCTGGATGTCTCTGGATGACGACATCCTGAGATAATGATTATCGTCATTATCTGAGGATGTCATCATCCAACTTTTACGGTGTCTTCATCCCATGATAAGTTATCTCAGGAAGTCGTTATTCCACTTTCAGGATATCTTCATCCCATGATAAATTATCTTGAGGATGGCATCATCCAACTTTTGTGATACTGTCATCCCGTGATATATTATCTCATGATGTCGACATCTTGCCTTTATTATGTCGTCATCCCGAGAAAAACATTTCAGGATCTCACCAAGTCGGATGGCACTTCCAGAGCTCTGTATCATTCTCAATGTTCGCGCGTTGCTCAGCTCTGCGCACGTCTTCAGTGCCAAAGATTGGCCCCCGGCCAGCTGCATGCAGAACTTGCAATTTAGCGGCGGTAACCAGTGTATGATTACTGCACGTGTGTTGCGTATGATTTCAATCCACCTTTCTGTTTACTGAATTCGGTGCAAAATGTTTAACTCCGCCTCCCGATTTGACTGGCGAGAAGAAAAGCCTGAACTTAAGCTCGAAAAATAACATCAATTTCACAAAATGCCCATATTTTGTGCTATTTTTTCTTGATCTTAAAGTTTTTTCATGAATAGGGCGGTTTTGTACAGTCAATAGGTGAGGTGGTATTACGTTTTTCGTTCCGAGTCATCCTTCCGCTATAATGCATGCGCGGAGCAAGGTCACGGAACAAACGGAAAGTCCTTTCATTACTCCTCAACCATATACCCTTTCTGCATTGTACATGTACATGGTAAGTGGTTGTGCGCTGTTAAAAATTGTGTTGTGCTACAATGGGTTTTCTGTAAAATGTAACAGACCTTTTGTCGCACTTTGTGTACAGTGATGAGAAAGTATGTTTCAACACATTAAATAAAAATCAAACGTGTCAATATTATCACCAACGAAAAGCATATGTAGCTTCCCCCACCTTGTAAGCAGCTTCCACATATTGTTTAGTAATTAGTAAATCCACAAATAAAATCTGGTCATGTACAAATTGAGCCTCTGTACATTGACATTTGTAATAAGAATTGACATACAATTCTTTGTAAATGTATTGTACAGAAAAGTTTCTAACTCTGTGTTATGTTACAACGAAAATATTTGTTAGGGTGCAACAAAAACTGAAGTAGATCTGCTGTCCACATATCGGTCAGTAGCCCCTGTGCTACCAATTGACATACGAAAACACTTTAAATGTACAGCAAATGTTTATTTTAACAGTGTGGTGGGGTAAAAGCCGGAACGTCTCAATGCTTTTTGATATTGGAGAAATGGCAGATTTTACTCTACGTAAGGGGCATTGCGGCCAGATTCAACTTGGCCGTGCAATCATCTTAGTTCTAGAGGGTACAAGGACCAATGCATTGGGGCATCGTGGCGTTGGCCGCTTTTGGCCGCTGTTAGGGTCGAGGCCATTAAGATTAATATTTAACGCGGTATGGATAACGGATTTCCATAGGGCCCCTGTGACTTTTTCCGCTGCCCAGGACACGGACGTGAAAATTAGTTATTAATAAATAAGATATTATTGCAAGACGGAATTACGTCATGCATCATGACAAAGCTGCCCTTCCTAACGTAAAAAGTTCCTGTAAAAGTTGTTGGAATGAATGAATGGTTACCCCAGACCTTCAGATTTGATAACGAAACCGCAAGGGTCCAGGCGGTGAGGGTTTCTTTAATGCGTGTTTTTTCTGCAGCTTTATACCAAGTGTCGAAATTCATCTGAAGGAAGAATTGTAGTAAAAGTGAAAAGGAACTTTCTTACATTTTAAAAGTGTCCGTACATTTCGACATCATACTGTAGCAGGAATGTGATACAGAGTAGACACGTTTTCGTTTGCAAGGATTTCTGTTCACATTTGGCGATCAAAAGTCAAATTATAGGCAGTTGACCCTAACAGTCCCGAATGCTACAATGTACCACTTGGTAGTAAAATGTAGTACTCAGCCCTGTCGCTTGTAAGAGGACATGACATTATTCTCTGAAGCCATAAAATACAATAGAGAAGACAATGTACCATGCAGTGCTGTGGCACCATGAATGCATGGTTTCATTGTTCTCAGTACGAGTAACAATGGAATAAACCTAGCCAGAAATAGTAATCTGTAGCGCTAGGTCCTTCAGGCTCAGAGTGTTACTTAGTATTTTGTAGTACTGAGTATTCTAAGCCCAACAACGCCTGGTACGGTTAGGGTTAACGTCAGATTTTTTTACCCGAAAAAGCTGCAGGGGGTATGGTTTTCTACCCACAAATTCTTCAACCTGGCAATTGTGCATTGACCCACCCAAATGAATAATATTTAAACAAGTGTACAAGTCCTCCGTTGAACAAGTGGGGAAAATAATGCGTGTTTACACGTTATCCGGCGCCAAGTGGTTAACACTACATTCAACAGAGAATTATTGATAAATGTTGCAGCCTCTGTCAGCCCTTGCCCCTGCCGAAAAGAGGATAGTTCGGGCGCTCCAATTTCTCTTGCGTTATCTTTTGTTATATTATGAAACAGAGTCAAGATCTTTAACCAAATTACCATGGCTGCGCATCATGACATTCAGTAATGACGACATATACATGTACCTCGACAAAAGTCACATGAAGGCACGGGAAATCATAGGAAAAGTGAAAAAGACACTTCACATGTACGAAGTACATGTATAAGGTGAAATTGAAATGCGGTTCACTGATGGAATGTCTCCACTATTTTCTCTAGTGTTGTGTGCATCGTATGCGTCTCGATGCCGTTTGCTTGACAGTTTTTGTTGCATTTTGTTTTTATTCGCAGTTCATCGGCTCTGAACAAGATGGCCCAAGAACATGTGTATAAAATCTTATTCTTCCTGCAGTCAGCAGCTTTCATTGCCTTCGTCATAAGTAAGTTTGAATTTGCACTTGATAGATCTTTACCTGCGAAGTTCAGTGTTCCTACACTGAGGAAGGGGGGACACTGGGCATGTACATGTCTGTATTATACAGCGCTCGATGAAGCACGATATGGCATCATAAAATTCAATCTGTCGGGAAGGGCGCCCCTCGCGTTGGGTAAATTATAGAATAGAAAGGGTTGAAGTTGACCTGTATGTGAGAATAGTAGCATGCAGAAAGTAAGCACTGTTTATGGGGGAAAGTGAACTCAAGTGGAGTATACAGCTAAGGTTTTCAAAAATAATGAATTAGAATGATATTTGTTTAAATCCGATTTTCACTTTTGTTATTTTGTGTGTTTAAACCGTTTTTGTGTCCTTTACGACCTTTAGTATAATGATTATTATTCCGATTATTGAAAACACGTCTCATTCTCATCATGGACCACTCACTGAACATGAGTGAAGGCCCCCATTTTAACTACAAATGTATTCGTGTAAGTGTGTCATCTGACATTCTACAAGTGCTGTTTCAGTACGTTGACTAGTCCCCGAAGTTCTTTCCAATTTAAGTCATAATGCATATTATGTCATGCTTTTGCACTGTATGTACATGCTCAGTAAAGATTTTACCTCAATTAGTTGTAATTAAAAATGTCTCGTCACCTTTATTAAAAAAATCAAGGCCGCACTGTACCTATAATTTTAGCAATTCAGGTTCCTTTCCATGTCAGTGTGTTCAGTAAGTGAATTCGGGGAAGCACGGTCCAGAATGGACATTTTGTGAATAAAGCCGATCGAATATACAGGACTACACAAGAGTGAATATAGGATGATACCCAAAATGAGCTTATAAACCGATTGCGCCCACTAAGTCACGTGACCTGTAGTTGGTATTAAATCTCAACAAACACACAAGCGTCCACCTCAAAGTGTTTCATAAATATCATTTACCAAAAATTAAGCCGACGGTAGGTACCGTACTCAGACTACTGATGTGCTGGATCATGTGGCCGTATTATTTGTAAATAACACCCAAAACACACGTTGCTACGGGATTGATAACCACTTTAGGTCACGTAATTTAGCGAGCGCAATTGGTCTTTTCTGGTGGAGTTTGATGTTTTTAGAAGAACCAGTATTTAATTCAGCCTGAACAAGTGTTGAAAGTATTTAATGATTTCCCCCCCTACCAAAATGGCGCTCATGCAACGCATTAATTATTTTATATTGTATACTTGGCGTATTAAAAAACAATTTTAAATGTATCTACAGCTGCACAACCATGTTGCCTTGTTAAATAATGGAGCATTTTCACTATTGCAAAAATAAACATATAAAAACCATCAGCTTTTTCGGAATTTTGCTTTGAAATGTATTAATTTTTGTAATTGTTTTTCGTTTCTTCCAGATTATTCACAGAAGTCTGATGTTATTTTAGCGCCAATCAAGCAATCAGCCCCTGCTTCAAGAGTACCTCACACTTGTAACTGTCTTGAAACAAAGATAAGGACTGCCTTCGATGCAGGGGCTGTTTGTAAAGATGTCCTCGAGAAACGAGGACGAATTTCGAACTGTACCCTAGCCGACATCAACAAGAGACCCGGGGTGGTATTGCTCACCACAACCAACCTCGCCTTCCTAGACGTGACACTGAACATGTTAGAAAGCATCAAGAGAACGGGTGTGTGCGTCAACACCACTGTCATTGCCGAGGACAAAAAAGTCTTCGAACAGTTATACAAGAGAACGGAGGGGGATCCAGCGCTGACGGTGCTTTTGACCAACTCGGGAGAGATGGACGTCATTGAACATCCGCGTAGTCACCGCAGTCAGTACTATGGACTGATGAATAAACGTCAAGCTTATATCTTGGGTTTGCTGACAGAGGGCTATGAGGTGCTGTTCTCAGACGCCGACACCTTTTGGTTCCGAGATCCTTTTCCCTTTTTTGATGGAGACTTTGACATCTCTTTGATAGACTCCGTCAACCCATTTGGGGTTCGTTCGGGAAGATCCAACTTCTGCGCCGGCTTTGTGTATTTCAAACCGACCAACGTTACCCTTCAGTTCGTCAAGGCCTGGGTGGACCAATTGGAAAATAACAAGAAAAGGGGAAACTATTCACCAGATCAAAATGTAATGAACGCGCTTCTCAAAAATGACAAGCCCGTGTATGTGAAAATTAAACCTCTGGACACGAACATTTTCCCCTATGGGCCTAAGTTTTATGATCTGCTGGCCAGGAAAGCTAATTACTCCACTGTGGTGATGCACGCCGCCAGCATCCGCGGCCATGAAGCCAAAGTGACAAAGTTCAAGAGTTCGAACATGTGGTTGGTAAATAAAACAACAAATGAGATGTTAGCAGAAAGCAAATAAGTGTACTATACGTATGGGTGGTGTGTGACACTGTCTTGCACAATACTTGAATTTAGTATAGCAATGTACACCTTAGTTTCTTTGTATTAATTTTGCATTGTGTCTTTTGAAATAACGTATTAAAGGTCCACAGTTATCAAGATGAGAAAACGAGTATGAGTTTAAAGGACGGAGCAACATTGCAGGAATACACTTTGATAAGCTTTTCTAGAGTGTGTAAATATGCTTTGACGTTTGGTGCTCCGCTGTTAAAGCAGTCTTTCAGCAGAAAAACTCATAGTTTTGCTATCTTAATCTACATACATTTTAGCTGTATACTCCCCACATCTTCATTTGTGGGGTGGTCTTTTCCTGTTTGAGGCGCAAATGGGTCGAAGTGATTACAGTACACTTTGAGCAATATTCATTGAGGGGAAATATTGTTGGAAAATAGGTAAAATACTAAAACATGTATGGAAACAGTGTACTGGTTGAGTGTGCCGCCTGAAGATACCTCTAGCTAGAATACTTATATAGAGAATTAATATTCATGTATTGAATTGTCTGTTCACGGAGGAAAATGCAGTTGTCAGTTAAGAAATCGCTGTAATTTACCCATGGCAAAGCCTGCAGGTGATGTATTGTTTTTCCTTACCAAATGTGATCGGTCATAGCCAGGTGATTTAGCACTGCTGAGAATTGATAAGGCCAAAGAAGTAACGTGGCAAAATGTGCCCCACTATTGAGCGCGCGGACTGTTTGTGTGCATGCACTATTGGCCGGACAAAAGACTAAATGGTCGGAAAATGTCTGATGGCCGATATCAATATCGTGCTCTGTGAGCAGAGATTTCAAAAGAATAGATTGTGGCAAGCTCGGATACCGCATCGAAGATCGCAACATGCCAAGTGTTCCTGCGCCGCGTTGACTCCATTTTGTTACGCTCTTTCTGATTGAGTGTTCAAACACAAATTTGAACAAAGGATTCCTCGCGGGGTGAGCCAAGATACTGTTTAAATTGGACTTCGTGAAATTTCTAATCGCTGTTTTGCACGTATTTTATCAGTATTCTCTGAGAAAAAATGTTTTATCAATATCGTCAATTAGCAGAAATTTCCTAAGTGTACACTTTTCTTGCCGAATTATCATAGTTCACATGACTGTAATTTTTTGATACTCTGTTTTGTAAACAAGAACTGTGAAAGGCCAAATTTTGTCGTGTAGAAGGCTGAATGTAATCATGCTTTGAATATGGTGCAAAAATGTCTACGTGAGTTAAAGCCATTTCATACTTAGCGCAAACGCGAATTTGTGACAATCAGGTCATGTTTTAGAGGAAAATACATCCCACCTGCATCCTGGGTGTTATAGTGCCCGCAGATCTTAAATGGGATATCCACGTTCTGAATATGATATCTCAGGCCAACAAAAAAAAAACTACATCCTAAAAACACTGAAACAGTTTTGCTTACCTGTAAATGATTTGGTCTCCATCTGCCTTAGCTACTTTAGGCCATTGTTAGAATATGCCACACCAGTATGGAATATTAGCCTCACGTTGAAACGGGTCAAAGCTCTGGAGAATTTCCCAAAGTGGGTCTGTGAAACCATCCTTAGCATTTAATACAGTGGTTATGATGATGCACTTGTTTCTTATAGCTTACCTTCAGTCAGAGGCGAAATTAGTTGTGTATTAAGTTTGGTCAATCTCCACTAACCTCAAAACATTTTAGTACTTGGATTCCTCTGACTCGTCATCAGTCACATGGTCGTCAGTTGAGAAATTCTACAGCTATAGCAGTGCCTTTCTGTCGCGGAAGAAGGTATCAGAACAGCTCTCTTGTAGGATTGATAAATTTGCTTACTATGTCTAACTAAACTCATCAGCTCCATGTCCAGCTTGCTCCGCTAACAATAAAATAGATCTTCTTTTACTCGCAGTGGTTAATATTTTAAGTCAAGTTTCCTGCTAGTTTGTGTATCAATCCCCCCTCCGTTTGACCCCTTCCCGCGAAACCCCACCCCACCTCTGACCCCCCCTTCCCTACCTTCCCCTCCTTTTGACCCATTCTTGGCCTTATCCAATATTTTTTTGTCCATATCCCCCTGCTGCTTTTTTCTCTATCCCCTCCTGACCCTCCTGCCCC